AAAGAAAAAATAACATACTGCTGGACAATTCAGATAGGTAGTATATCCATTGACAAATTGATGTATTGAACTTGAGTTAAAATCAATAACTGGCCAAGTTTGACTTTTCTTATCGCTATTTTTTGGATAGCAACATAAACAAAGTTGATTGCCACATGGAAGTATTGAGTATCTTGCTTGAGGTTGATCTTTTCCACAGAAGAGACCTTCCGTGTTTGAGTATGGTGTAGCCCCACGATACGAACAAGTTTTCATGTAGAATAGATCAACTGAAATAAATTCAAATATAGAAAACAATGATATGATATGTCACTATAAAAACGCACCATCTATTTGTAGATAGAATTCTAATGCGATCGCCATTTGTTTCGAATTCAAAGTTGGTTCTTTTAAGGCAACATCAGCCATACATAAAATATTTCGGCGAAATGATTCATGCAGTGCCAGAAGAGTACAGCATATGGTACGAAGTCGATCCGCATTGAAAGTAATGATTGCTTTGCCGACTTTTAAACGTATGGCTAGTTGTTCAACATCTTCTTGTAACAAACTGAATGAATTACCATAGTTGTATGTGTTCATGAGCATCAGTGCATCCGATATATAGGCTCCATGTTCACGTCGAATAATTTCATCAGATGACAGATGACTAACTAAAAAAACAAAAATAAAAGAAACAATCAAAGAAGCATTTAGCAGTGGAAATAGGGGAAAATACGAACTCGATACATTAGCCAAAAGTAAACATTCGTCAATACCAACAGATTTCGTTGGAAATAATGGTAAATAAGCATAGCGTCCATTCTTCTTCTTATCTGGTAATGTTCTAGGTTGATAATCATGTTGTTGACGATTATCGACTAAAAAGCTACCATATTCTGTTTGATTTAAATCAGTTGTATTACGTTCCATAGCGAATGAATAAGTTTTCAAAGTTTCTTCGTATTTCAAATCTTGTTCAATTGCTTGTTTATTTTTCTTCTCTGTTAAGGTTCTATCTACAAGAGCAAAGCATATGAAAGAAATTACGTTTTTTTTTCTCAACGTTTTCATTAGTAAGGGTACGAGAAATTTTATTATAATTATATGATGGAGAAAGATAAAGGTATGAGAGTAAGGAACTAGAAGATAAAAATGAATCGTTCAACTAATCTATTGTCCTAACATAGTTTTTGTTGTTCGGCATTGATTGCTGTTCCATGGAACAGTTGCAATATTTGTTCGAGATTATATTGCGCCCGATCAACCATATTGTTTTGACGGCTTTCAATGGTCGTAATAATTGAATCTACAGTCGGAAGTTTGGTAAATTTCTTCCCATTTTCTAATATTTTTGTTTTCTCATCAGTGACCTTCTGAAAATAACTTTGAGCAATATTCTCCGCTATCAATATTGCTCGTGTGGTTAATGCGTGGATGAATGTGCCATGCAAGCTCATTTCATTTATTGTTGTATGTGTTGTTGAGTGCCATTGTTGGTCAAATAGAAGAGTGGCCAATATCGAGTTGATTTTCGTTAAGGTTAACTGTTGCAATGTGTAATAAGTTGAATTAGACGGATGAGAGAACCATTTCTTGAACACAGCTATCTCATAGTTGAGTTTCTGTTGTTCCTGTATAGCTTGCCAAATAATTTTCGCTGAATGGATCTAAATAGTATCAAAAGAAAATGCATAAAATGTATCTAAGATAAATAGACGCACTTCGGTTTGTCTTGGTTTTAATTGATAGAAGGCTTCAACTAATTGATGATCTTTTGCATCGAATTTGAGCATAGCTCTCCGTCTATCCAGTTCAATACGTAAATTAGATTGGTCTTGTTGTATAAAAGCAGTGATTATAGAAATGAGTTTTTCTGTATCTATCGTAGCAGGTGTTTGTTTTCTATGTTCATCTAGCTCATGTGTATTAACTTCGATTTGTTGTTGAAAATATTTTTGCCGTTCTTTAATCAGTGCTTTTCCTCGACCATACGTGTAGCACATTGAATTAACCAGAGCCATTTTTTTCGATACTCGCCCACTCCAAATACCTTCTGTCATACCAAGATTATAATAATAGGTCCATTGTTCATGTTGTAATTTTGAATAAGTTAATTTATTGATGGATTGTGCCAATTGACGAGAATAGTTAAATATTGCTTCATTCTTAAATAGATCAAGTAAATAATCTCTGTCAGCATCGGATGTCGTTATTGTTAATAATACTTCTTGAAAATCCTTATTTGACATCACTGAATAATCAGTAAGGAATAGAGTTGGATCAATATTGGCTTCAGTATATGAAGGATAATATCTCATTTTGCATGAAGGTTGTTGACCAATATATAATGATTTAATACCATTATTACTTGCCATAGGCTGCTGTTCGCATAGATAATTGAGTTCGGTGGATAGTGCTTTCGTTTTTGAA